CTCGCCGGCCTCTACGGGCGGGGAACGGACAGCATCGAGGGGGCGGAGGAGGCCGAGAAGGCCGAGAGCGCGGCCTGGGCCTCCCGGCCCGACCGGCGCAGCTACCTGCTGAGCATCCGGCCCCGGAACAGGTGAGGGGGCCGGGGGGCCGGGGCTGGTGCGACGTGGGTGTTCCGCCGCCCAGCCGCCGCCGCCATGGGTTCGTGGTGCCACCAGGCCCTAGGCCGGGGACACAGCCCGCGGGTGACATTTCAAAGGCAGGTGGAGGAGTGAGGCGCAAGGGAAGCGGGGACAAGCTCTCTGGAGGTGAAGCGGGAGAGGAGCAGGCTGGCAGCGTCCCAAGCTGTAAGGCAATACCCGGCCCCAAACGGATCGAGCTGGAAGCAGCATGGCCACCTTGGCCTTTGCCTCCCTGGAGATGTCCAGGGTGGAAAAAACAAGCGATGGCTTGGGCTCTCCAAAACAGCTTGTTCGCTGCGGGCCAGCCCCTCGCTTCCCAGGAAAGGGATGTGTTTTTTTGCGGTTGTTGCTGGAGCAGGGGTTGTCAGCATCGCACATCGTTTTATAGCAGGGCAGGTGTGCAAGTTGACTGCCACGCTGTGAAATCCTGATGGACATGCACTTCTGCGTCTCTTGAGTTAAACTTGCGTGCAGGATACCGTGCTGACCTTCCTGCCTTCATTGTAGCGAAGCTGCTTGTGTTATCGACACCAGACTCCAAGCAAGGGGCCCGCTGCGCATGTGCCTTATCTTATTGCCAAAAAGGTATTTCTACAATGTAGATACAGGCCGAGCAGCAATGAGAATGGCATTACTGGGTCATTTCCTGGGTCAGAAATGGCCTTAAGCAGGGGGTCTGTGGTAGGAATAAGGCTTTGTTCGCATGGGGGAAGGTATGATAAACATGTTGTCCACTGAGACTGGCTGAGGTTAGCAAATACGAGGCAACGTGCCAGCAAAGGCAAAGGTGTTGATGATTGTGTTAGTCATTCAAAATAAAGCCTATAAATTACTTTGAATTCACTAGGAATGCTCTTCAGTCTGTAAGCTCTTGAAATGAGTGTGCTTCGTCCCTGTTGATGGTTTATAAATGATCCATTTCCAGCGTGTCAAGGGTTGATGCCTCAAAGAATCTGAGATTTGTAAAAATAAATACAGGACCAAAACAGATAAAAGCGTGCTGCCTGGAAGTCAGATGTTAAAACTGGGGTAATGCCAAAGTTAAGTTGCCTTAATTCAGTTCTTTTGTGCTTGCATCATAGAGTGCAATCTAATTGCAGTCAGTCTGCATACCGTGGCATCTTCAGTACCAACAAATGCCCATACAGCATCCACAACCAATCTGTGACCTCAGACCATACCATGCAAAGGAAATCTGTAATCGAGTCTGACAATTCCATTCAGCCAATTACAAGTAGAGAGGCTCTTTCATAAATAAGATGTTGAGGTGTTTTGTTTGCCTGCAGCTTGACTTTTATTCCCCTCCTGAGTATGTTCAAACTGCAGCTTTAATCAGTTCAGCCATAAAGGAGGGTTGTCAGTCCTGCAAGCTGGCGTTCCCGCTGGCTTCCCCAAATCGCAGAAGTTTTGCTCAAGGCTGCTGAGGAAGGCACAGAGCGATGTAGCACTTGCATGCAGTGAGCTGGCTGGGTCAACACTGCGGCTCAGGCATAGTAAATCCAGCCTGTGTCTGGAAAGGTCTGAGTCCTGAACACCCTGAACTTGTCAGGCTAGTGCTGTGGGTGGGTGCACCCCAGTTTCTATCCACTGGAGCCTAATGCTTTTGCAGGCAAAGGGACACTGTATTGCCACGCTTAAATCAGCAATGCTTTTGTTTTGCACAAATTGTCTAATCCCTTTTTCAACCCACTTATGTACTTGGTTGTCAAAGCCTATGGCATGATAGTTTCATTTTGCCTGTTGACTTAAGTGGCTGCCCCTTCTGTTCTAAGAAGCAGTGAATAAATGTTCGCTGAATAGCAAAACTGAGCTTTCCTTGTGTTCATGACACCTTCCAGTTTCTCTAATGAATGAAGGAGGAGTAATATAAAAGTCTCATTCCCCACACAGCCCTGAGTGTGCTGAAGACTTGAGCCAGGGTGTGTGGAAACTGTGGTGTTGTCTATGATGCAGGGCAAGGGCTTGAATGAAGTGGGGCTTTTTGTCCTGTAATTAAATAATGTATCAAAACAATTCTGGAGAGCAAGTGAGTGGAATGGTGTAGCAAGAAGACTTTCAGAAAGTAATTAGGAGTTTAATTAAATCCAGGAACATCTGGAGAGCTTGCCTGGGAGAACTTGAAAAGCAAGATGAGCGACATGCACAATGGCAGATAATGTTCAGCAGTTCTCTTTAACGCAGAACATATTTGAATTTGGTGAGTTTGGAGCTAACAAAAGTATGGGTCAAGTGATACAGACACAGAGTTGTGGTGGGAAGCTGCTGTGGTGGTTAGAAAGCAAAAATGGGTATTTTGATCCAAAAATCAATGTGTGCGTTTTTTCAGGCTTCTCTTTATGTGTATTTATCAAGTGTGTTTAACTGAAATATCTGCCTGCTCTCTTCACCCATTTTTTAAAGCTGTAGAAAGTATAGTGACATGATAGAGGTACTTACAGACATGGAAATATCTTTATGAAAAGAAACTGAGGTTAGGAATCCCTGCTCCTGGGGTGATTCATGAACATGTTTCACCTATGTGCTTGCATTCATGACCCATGTAGAGAATAGTCTGGATCATCTTACTAGGTCTCCCTAATCCTATAGGAGGAAAAGGATGTTGTGTAAATTGAAGGATACTAATTTAGAAACCAATACACTTTTTTCTGTTTTTTTTTTAACTTGTAGAATTTGTCAGAGGTGGTGCTGCAGGGGCCAAGAGAATAGAGGTGTTGAAAATGGCCGTAGAGAGAACATCATCCCTTTATTAAACAGAGTATTCAGGATATTTAGTTTTTGTGCCCTTAGGAACTGGTCTTTAGGAAGAATCTTCCCTGTGAGCAGATAGCTCAGTGACAAGAGATTACTGGCTTTCCTTTGTCAGTCTTTTAACATACCTGATAATGGACAATGTGATGAGCAGCTTACGGTCATGGTGACTTGCCTTCTGCCCTGGCAGCTGACAGAACTTTTTTATTTTGGGGTAGGTGTTGTTTTTTTTTTTAAACTCTTATGCCTCAAAGCACTTGACTATAATTACTTCACAAAGTGAGAGGAGAAGCTGTCAGTCCTGTCCAGGGTCTGCCTTAGCTGCATTCATAAGCCACCTCTTTAGGTGTCCTTTTTGTAAGAACTAGCTGAGTCTGGAGAATGTCTTGTGCAGAGAGATGCAATTATATGTAAAATCTTACAGCAGAGGCTTCATCCGAGTCCTAGGCAAACACTTCTGTTGGAAGTGATCTGCACCTCTCATCCAATGCAGATGTCTGCTCCTCGGTCTCGTTACAGCATTGCCTCCTTGCTTAAATGTCTTTCTACTGTCATAGCTTCATCATATGCAGATATTTTAAGAGTAGAGTGACATTGCGTCTGATCTTTTCTTGGATGGTTCTCTCTGGTTGTCGTGGCAGTTGAGCTCAGGAGAGTGCCTTGCCACCTGGCTTTTCTGGCTAGAAACCATTCCCAGTCTTGTACCTCTTGCTTTGCACATAATATCAAATTAAGGTGAAAGATCTGTTACTATAATAAAGTCAGCTGAAAACGCAGGAGTACTTAGTTCCTGAAAAGCATGTTTAGCTTTTTTAGTTCAGAGGAGTTCCCTCTTCAGCACCTGTAACTTCTTACAGGACCTTGCTTTTGGCAACAAGTGGTGTAAATCCCTGATAAGAAATGAGCTGTGGCATCTGGGGAGTTCAGTGCATCCATCTTGTCTGACAGAAATGTTCCAAACTCTGAAAGGAGGGACATCCAGTACACACTTGAAAGGCAAAAGTAAAGGCATTGGTGGGTTCATCTCCAGGGTCTCTAGGGTAGAGGTATCTTTTTCCTATTGGTGTAATTATCTGCACAGTGGTGCCCTGTTTGAGTGGGGCTCCTTGCCAGTTGTGCACAGTGAATAATAATACCAAGCTGCATTTTTTGGGTCTGTTTCTAAAGCTTCCTGTCCATATCTCCTAGAATGTCAAGTGGAGCTGAGTATGTAGGCTGATTAACTGATAACCTAGGCTGGAGCTGGACAAACAGTGCCCTTCAGGACCACTGTTAAAATATAGAATATATCACATGTGTGAACTCTGCTCTTCTCTGGAAACCTTATAAATGGAGACGTTTCCGTGGCCTGGGATCCCATCTGATTGCATGGAGGGGAGAGCCTGGTTTCCTCTGAACCACACACCTCTTGTGCCACAGCAGAGGCAGCTTCCAGGAGATGGATTTAAAACCTGCTCTGTCCTCGCTCTGTTTCAGCAAGGGGAGGAAGGTCTTGGGCGAATGAGGCTGTTATCTTACACTGACTCAGTCTCACACTTTACAGCATCGCCTGGTCCAAGAAGAGAAAGGCAGAAGAGCTGTTAGGAAAAACTATATATTTTCACCTTGCTGAATAACCCACAGCTACAAAAATCTTCTGTGCACAATGAGTTACCAGGAAGATGTCAACTTTCCTGGGCATCTATTGCCCAATATTTGCTTTGCTTTCTTTTGTCCTTTCTCATTCCTTGATGCCTTTCAACTAGCTGCCAGTTTCGTTTGGACCATAAAGGCAGCAATAATTCAGGGTTAAAATACACAAGATCTGAGCCATCTTCAGAGTGTTACAGAGGCTGATACAGGAACATGTAACTTAATTTATTGTTTTCTGCCTTCTCTGTTAATGAAATCTAGCTCTAAATTGTTATGTGCAAGTCTATGTTCATCTCAGCTCAAAGTAAATTACCTGCAGAAAACATGCCATATTTCTCCAGCTCTGACATCAATTTGTTCCATGACCTTGACAAGCAAAGACTCAATACATCGGTTTTCCAGTCTGTAAAATAACAATGTGTCTTGTGCAGCTCCATAGCACTCACAGCTGCTTTATCACAGGATTGCTGATAATTACTGCCATGGTATATGAAACACAAACACACTTGCTCTGTGTATGCATGAAGTGCTTGATAAGAAGCAGGACACATGGCAGGAAAGAAGCCTTAAGCATAACCATATGTACATGAAAGCTTCATTGTTGCCTTTTAAATGTTGAAAATGGTTGGCTTCTGACAGCTGAGAAGACATTCAGTGAGGCTTGTATTTGTCTCAAGTAGTATTAACCTTGGAGGCAGAGAAGTTCATATGAAATCTTATACTTGGAAGTCTGCATGTACAAAACATGCCCAATAATATCACAGGTCAGAGTGCCAGCAAGAGGGAGTGTCTGTAGGGGATTGCCAGGGCCATCCCTCTGTCCTGCTCCTGGGATGGAAGGGCTGCCCTCTTGTCAGTGGGATCTTCTGAGGAGCTTTTGTGCAATGCTGTTTCCATCAAAACTTAACTCGGAGGTCTCAGCTTTGCTGTCATTGACACGTTTCACTATTTACTTGCTGCACTGGACAGCTTGTGTAGTTTTCATGCTGTGGAAGAGCACTGAAATATATTAATGACAGTTGCAGCTCAAGCAGATCAAGTCCGTGTACTTGTACGTGTGAGGATGGAGCCACTGTGAAGCCTATTTCAGGGTCTCCTGAGCTCTTGTCGACTTTCATATGAGGACATGAGCTGGAAGGAGAAAGATCTCTTTATCTCAGGAAGAAGAAATACAAAGAGAATTTCATGCAGTTAGAAAAGGTACTAGATTTAAAATCTATGTTTTTCAAGCAGTTAACTTATCAGTGCCAGTGGGGTACCAGAAGTACCAGCCTAGGCCGTCAACTTGAGCAATATTTTTAGTGATTAAAAAAGTGAGTGTTGTTGACAGTTCTGCCTCCTGCCCTTGCAGCAAGACTGAGATTTGGCAAGTGCATGAAAAATGGGGAAGATTGTGTTCACGTCTGAAGAAAATTATGAGTAGTTGAAGGGATAAAACCTTTAAGTAGATGATAAATGTCTGAAGGAGTTTGAAAGCATCTGATGAAACAGAAGTTAAAGAAGAAATGAGGCTGGTAGAAGGTACATAGTAGAGGGGTTTAATTCTCATGGTCCAGTGCAGCAGTGGTTAATAACCAAACCTGTATTTTCAGGGCTAGCTTTTAACAAGCTGTGCTTCATAGATGTGAGATACCTGAGGATGCTTCCTCCCACTGATGCTGGACATGCCTGGAGCAGACCTCTCTGAGCTCCTCTTCTCCAGTAGAGAGAAACCAGTACCTTTAGACCTCAATTCACCTGCTTTAGATGTGTTTCTTAGGATAAGATAAGCGTTTGCCTTCATCCAGTAGCTATAATGGTCCCAAGCTTGCTTGGGGGAGACACATCTGCTGCCAGTGCTGCATTTCATTAGCAGAGTCCTCTACTGTGTGCACAAACAAGTCTCTGGAGAGCTGAGGACACAGACAATCCAGTCCCAAAGCGTATCAGACTAGGCACGCTGGGGTGTCTATTGTGCCTTGCTCAGGAGTCCCATGTTTCTAAGTGGATAGATTTGGTTTAGAGTCTGATGTAGTTATGCTGTTGCAGCTCTATGCAGGTATGCTGTGAATGTAATTAAAATGAAGTGAAATGCCAGCTGCCTGCAGGCAGGACTGTTCTGGCTGAAGTGTTCAGAATTTGATCTTGCTCTCTCTGGGCTTAAATATCTAGTCTGTAAAGCAAATTTTGCTTGGTTCCTTAGCATATTGAGGTTAAACTTTAGTTAATATGTGGATCTTTGTGGTGATGGCCTTTTTCTTTTGATAATATCAAGGCTCCTCAAGAGACCCTCAGTCCGGTATTCAGCACTGTGTTTCAGGATGTGCAGTGAATAAAGCCCAGGTTGTGTGCTCAACACTGGAGATTAAAAAAAGTACTGATGATGCTCGGTGTTTGATCACATTCATGAGCACAATGAATTCGTGGCACAGGCATCCTTCATTCTGGCTCTTGTCTATTTGAGTGATTTTCTTTATGTCCAAGCCAAGACACCTTCCCATTTGTCTTATGAAAGAAAGCATGATTAAAACCACATTTTTGCCTATGCTAGCGTTCTCTGGCAAGTGTTTTAGGATCTTTGCTGCTGGCTCCTCAAGCGATGCCCACGTCCTTAGTGTTCCTGGAGGCCAAAAGGACATTTTTCCCTTGCAGTGGTATGCAAAATGTTTTTGGGTTCCTTTGCTGTTGAAAAGCTGGGAGATGAGACATAATTCTTACTTATGCCCATGAGTTGTGTTTCCAGCTGGACAGAGCTGCCTGGGGGCAGCCCAGAGCACAGGGACACAGTGCATCAGTGCCGCTGTGCTGGGATCACCTGGGGTGGCTGTGCTTGGGGAGGGTTGTGGGGAGGAGGAAGCTCGATCCTCTTGGGAGGTCAGGGCAGGGCAAGAGCAGCTGGAGGCGGAACTTGAGCTCTTCAAGCTGGTAGGGTGGCTGGGGGTGATGAGGACAAGGTGACGCACTGGTCAGTAAGGCAGGTAATGCAAAGGCATGCCTTGCAGTGCTGGAAAGGACATGGGGCTCAAAGGGATGCCCCGGGTGGTGGGGCTCAGCTGGAAAGACAAAGTTCCTCTGTCTGACTTCTCCCATGGGCCAGCACAGCACATGCAAGATGATCCTCAGCCTGTTATGGTTAGTGTTTGATTTTTCCAGCTGGATAACGCCTGATCTGCTCATCCCCTGGCTGAGTGAACTGCAGCTGGCACTGGGGAGGAATCAGGATTGTGCGGCTGGGGGTGGAGAGGGTGAAGCTGCTGCCAAAAGGGTAAGTGCCACCCATGTTTGTTGGGTTAAAGCTACTCCTGAATGGCTGTCTAAAACATCTTCTGTCTTTGCTCTTCTGATCTGAAGGAGAGGAGTCAGTGAGCTCTTAAGTGCTGGGTTTTTTTTTCCCAATGAAAATGTGCAATTATTTGTGTAATGTGTCAGGTCTTCAGGCTGAACTAATTTTTAATTATTATTCGCATGGAGATTCTGCCTCCACAGGTGGAAGTGCTACATGGTTGGCAGGAGTAGTTTTGAGAGACCCTCTCTGGTCATTTTTAGGGCAAGGCTTGAAGTCCTGCTGACTTCTGTGCGATTAGGACTTGCACAGAGCCTGGATGTGGTCATTTGAGTAGGAGACCTGAAGAGGTGCACCTTTCTTGGTTCTTCTTGCTGTCTTCTGTAGCATCATCATAAAGTGCTGAAGTTTGGTTGTTCAACAGTGGTCTTCAGTGCACAAGGCTGAGAAGGTTTGACCTGTGCGAGTCTGACTTCTTACATCCCAGAGGGGGTGTTTACACTGCAGTCACTTCTGAGGCTATATGGTGAGGTTTTTGCGTAGGCATAACTTACATGTATCTCAGTGTGATTAAATCACTGAGCTTACGTGCTGTTGACTAGCTGGTACCTAGTTAGTTTTAGGCTTTTGATTGCCATGTGGGTGAGCTCAGGGTCTGAGGAACTGCTCCTGACTGCTGCGGGTCAATGCCAAGAGGTTATTTCCTACAGCCTGCAAGGGGCTGGTGCCACAAAATGGCAATGTGGCCTTTTGGCTAGAACATGAGTCCTTGAAGACAATTCTTTGGGAGAAGTGGTGGCTGCTGGTAAGTAGTGCATCTGGGTGTCCCTTGTGTAGGACTTGGGTGTTTGATTTTATTCCCTGAATTGGTTAATGTTATAACATGTTCCTGCAAAGAAAGCAAAACGTGTAGACTCTTGTAAAGTCTACTTCTTTTATTTTATTTTAATTTTTTGCCGGACCTTAGTGATTTGGTTGGCAAGCTGGAAAGCAATGTATAGTGACCAGAGAATTTGTCCTTGGAAGCACAGAGGGTGACCAGCTCAGGCCATCTGCTTGCCAGCAGAGAATTGGGCTTGCAGCAGTCTGTACTCCTGCCTGCCGTTTAATTGAACATCTCCTGGGGTGGAGTTGCCTGCTTTGAGCACAATGCTGCGGATGGTGCATGGAAGGCTCAGGTGCTGCTTCTTGGAAACCTACTTGTATAAATGTCCTTACACTTATTCTCTGACCATTTCATTTTTACAGCCTTTGATTTCAATTGACAATGTGGCTTGCTCGTCCTGGCAGTCAGCCTGAGTAAGGCAGCTGTACCTTCTTTTAATAGGAACTCTGACCTGTGCAAAACAACTCATCATTAATATGTCTTTGTAATGGTTTGTTTATTTCAGCTCCTTTCCATGCTTCTCTGTCTAATGGTTTTTATGCTGTTTTTTGCTTAGCTTATCAAGCAGCAGATACTCTCCCTCCAGTTTAGGAAGGTAAAACTATGTTGCATTAAACTGCTCTGACCAAACACTTTGCTGAATCTGACTGCACATGATTAATCTGCAATGCTTTGTTACTAATTAATAGAGAACCCTGAAGTGATTGAACAGCCTTATTCTGCATGATTGGATCCCTAATACTTGCTTGAACTGCAGGCAGCAAAGTGAATGTTCATCGTAATTCCTGTTAAGGTGCAAGAAATATTCCTCTTTCTTAGCCAAAGGATGGGTGTTCAGCTACTTCTTGATGTTAAAGTGAGACTTCCATACAGAGACATTAAAAATTAGATGTGCCTGCCCTGAGACTTTCAAAGAAGAAATTTTCTTTTCTCCCTGCCATCCTGTGCTTTATTGTGAAGATCTTAATTCATTTGGACTGCACTGAGATGCACTTGTAGGGCTGCACTTTGCCTCTGGCAAAATAACACATTTGGAAGTCAGTTGGCATTACTGGTTTGCTGCAGAAGCAGGTAGAGGAATGACCACGGAGGGAAAAGCCTCTCCAGAACGTCCCTATAGCTGTGGGATTGCTAACCAAAAAGTAAGGAAAAGAAAATCATGATGAAGAGGAATGCACTTCTCACATCTCCTTTTCCTGCAGACTGCTTTTGTATGGAAATCCCTCTTTAATGTAAAAAGGCTACTGAATTGCCTGTGTCCTCTTCCTAGGCTCCAGGGCTTTTTCTGCAACAAAGATGCAGCTTCAGGAAGGCCTGGAGGAAGAGCAGCTGCCACCTTGTATCAGATTTCTTGAATGTGCTGAATTACTGGTTTAGAAAGCAATTTAAATTGGACAAGTCTTGTTGCAGCTGGAGTGAGTCAGCTGAGAGCCCCATAGAGCTGCAGTCCCTAAAACCCCCCTGTGACTAATACAATGGTTTCTTTGAAAGATTAAATAGACCTTCCAGGACTTCCTGCCAAGTGTACATTGGGCAAATCTCCTCTGATTCATCTGCTGTGCCTGTGGAGCCCCCAGCTTCTGGTGACGCTGCTTTCCTAAAGCATTCAGTAGCCTTTGCTGTTATTTCACCTTACTGTGGGATTTGCACTGAATAGACCAGACTTATTCCTTGTGTTGCCTGTTGATATCAATGGCATGGTACTGGGATTAAACTTGATCACGAGTGTCAATATGTGTGTGCGCATCACTTTTTTTAAGATGCTGATCTGGTTGCTCTCCTGCTGCGGTAAGAAATGTTCATTGATGCCTGGGAAGTACCTTATGTGGATCTAAAAGACATTTATTGGTCTAGGGCTGGGGATCTGTATTGAAGGGGCCATCAAAACCCCACCAGTAACTGCCTTGGTACTGGATTGTCTGCCTTGCTCTTTGGAAATGGGATTTTTTTCTCCTGGGGTTGGAGTATGTCAAGGTTTCTCTGGTTTGAAACAGCTGTTGGTTCCCACAGCCCTTTCCTGGCCCTGTGAAGAGTTGCTTGCCAGGACCAGTCTCTCCTAGGGACCACTGATTTCCACAGAAAACACTCTGAGCTGTGGCTGGTTTTTACCCCATCCCACACATGTTTGGATATAGACAGTAGATGCAACAGCCCTAGTTGCCCCTGTCCCGTACCCTTACACAACACGAAGTGCCTGGGAGCTAGATGAGGCTCCTCCTGCATCCCAGTTGTTTGTTGCTCAGGGATTCATCTCCCTGTGTATCTTACAAACCCATTCTAGAAGGAAGCCAGAGTGAAAATCATAGAGCACTGCAGCCTCCAGGTAAGTTTTCTGGGTGGATGAAACAGGCAGCTGCTGTGGCTGGAGCTATCCTGGCACCTTCAGCCATGCATGCAGTTCAGTCCCTGCTACAGAGCCTGTCAGTGCACCTGACCTTACTGGGTTCGTGCTAAATGTGAGGTTTTTTTGTTTTTCCTGAACAAGTCTTCTTCCTCAGCAGGTAGAGCATGAGTAGCAGCAGCACCAGCATCCTGTCTGCAAGCCAGGGGCTGCTTGTGAGGCTGGGGTCCTCCTCATGGAGCCCTCAACATGTGCTATGAGCCCTTCTGCTCGTGGTGGAGCTGTGTCAGGAATGGTTTGGGGACTTGTTCCACCTCTTGCATGTCTCTGGAAGCTGTTCACTTCTTTAAGGAATGTCTTTCACTGGTGAAAATGATATAAGCAGAGCTACCAGCTACCAGTTCTCTTGCAATATTTGCTATTTCTCCTAAGTTCCTTGCATTTGAGACCTTGGGGTCCTCTTTCCTAGTGTAAATGTGTAGTGTTTTAATTGCAGAGGGAAAAATGAAAGAAGAAGCTCTTCCCTTCCAAGAGCCCCAGAGCACTATCCAAATGAAGACCCAACTTGGAATGAAATAATTTTCCTTTATTTAAGAAAGCCCAGATCTTCTGCAGTGTCTCTTGCTGGTGCTCCAACAGGGTTGGCAGTGCTGTATGAATATACTGATTTATTGCTACCATTGGATAGTGCTTAAATGACTGGAGAATCTAAGGTCTATTTTTGAGCTTTACAGATTGCACTATTGGGATAGTTCTGGCTATTTGAGTGTCCCAGCCTGAACTTCGAGGTCAGTGCCTGAACTCATGGAGTATGTAGTGTGAGTGCCTACCTGCAGCAGTGAGAGGTTAAACAGGGAATGGATGTCACCTTCACATAAAATTCCTGAGCTCAGAAAGCTGCAAGCCAGGCTCAAGGTCTCTTTCAGTGAGCTGTCCCTGCAGCAGGCAGCTTTTCTTAATTCAAAGCTTTCAAAGAGGGCCGCTGTGTTTGGGAGGCATGTTCAGTTCACACTTGGCCTGAAGTTACAGTGTGAAGCCTTCACAAATAAAGTCAAATCCCAGTGAACAGAACAAGACTTGAAACACTGATGGTGCAGTACCGGGAACATGAAGCTGACTTTGTTAGGGCCTTGCTTTGAGCCTGCTGGCTGATCAAAGAAATATTCTGTGTCATCAAGAACTAAAATCGTTCTTGACATTCATTACCCTGATAGCCATAAGGGCTAAGACAAAGGGAATGTCTCCCAAATGACACTTTAAAGTGACAGAGTCATCTTAGGATTGACAAAACAGTCAAATACCCTGATACTGGACTGGACTTGTGAACAACCTAGTGTAGGGATGATGGGAGGGAAGGAGGGCATTTACAACAAGAACACAGGCTTCTGAGATGAGATAGGAAGGGGACCCTTTGATTTTTCTAGTACTTTCATCTCTAAGAAATGCTTCTTGAATCTTCCAGGAGCACCTTCTGCGCAATCATTTCTCAGCTGACGGAGGAAACCCAGCCACTATTTGAAACCACTATCAAATCCCGTTCTGTGTCCGAGGACTCTGATGCTAAATTCACGTGCATAGTGACAGGTAACAGTGTCTTCAGTGAATAACCGGGTCCTGCCTCACTTGCTGGACATGTGCTAGTTAAACTCTAAAGCAAGTGATAACAAGGCAACACGTTAACAAGTCTGCTGTTGTCAGACTGCCAAGTAAAGATTCAGCAATTGCATAATGATTTCAGATTTAATTTAAGGGTGGGGGGGGAGGGTGGAAAACCACCTGAGATTGTAAAGAGGCAAAGGCATAACCTAACATCTCAAACAAAGCAAATTAAAGACCAGAAAATGGAATATGCTGGTTACTGCTTGGGCCAGCTACATTTTATTGTCCTAATCTCTGCTAATCCTGGACTCCATAACTCAGGAATGTGCAGTTTTTGCTGGCTGTAAATGGTTAGAGTGCAGCTGCATTTGCATCAGTGATAAACTTCTGTGTTTGTCAACATCTGAAATAAAAGCCTCTTTCTGCACAATGAGCTAAAATCTAACCTTGGGCAGGAAGGGGTTAGGCCAATAAGAGGAGAAGGGGAGGCTGAAAAAGAGGGCATTGTTGTGATGTGTGGCATGGCAATGCAGTGGTGTAAAGGTAAATGGCTCCTTTGCTGATGAGCTTTTGTCCTTTAAATATGGAGACTCTAAAACTTCTTTTTTCCATAATATGTACTTGTTTACAACTCTGTGATCCTTCCTGATGTTGCACATGTTTTTTATTCTAACAGGTTACTCAGTGAGAGGCATTAAACAAGTTTGTAAGCTTTGGGAGGAGGAGGGTATCTCCAGTGAGCCTCTTAGTCACAAGAACCAAGACTTTCTTAAGATTTAGAAAATCTAGTTTGCCATTAGAAACTTGCTGTAAATAGGCTGTGCACCAGGAAACACAAACTGAGCCCTTCTGAGAGTTGCTGGCTTTGAATTCTTGGCTCTTCTCATATGGATTTACTTGTTTTCCAGGTCTGACTTTCTGAACTTGCAGGGATACAACAGATACATTGATTTTATTGATGCTTAACTTAGCAGATCACTTCCTGCTTCTAGGGCAAAAGTGGGCTGCTAGGGAGATACCTTCGAGCCATGCCCCTCAGTGATTCATTAGAAGAGTTTTTTTTAGAAGTTTTCTAAAAGCAGAAGCTTGACATGTTGTGCAGTAGCACAGAACTCACCATTCTGCAAGCCAGGAGTGTCAGAGGTCAAAAAATTAGTGATGTTTAGATATGCTAGGAAATCCTGAATAAAAGCAGATACAACTCTCTCTTCTACCTCCCCTTGCTGGAAAGTGTAGAAGTGCTGCAGACCCACAGCATGACTGCTTACTGCAAGGACAGGGGGTAGTACTGCTTTCCCTTTCAGGATTTCTTGCCCCTTTTAAAATGCCTAGTCCTGGCTTCTCCTACTGGCTTGAGTCTTCACCAACTGCACCTTGAGGTTGACAGTTCCTTCTAACAAATGTCATCATCGCCTACAAAGTCCAAATAATACTATGTCGTGGTTTAACCCCAGCCAGCAACCAAGCACCACACAGTCACTCACTCACTCCCCATTCCCTGGTGGGGTGGGGGAGAGAATCAGAAAAGTAAAAGTGAGAAAACTCATGGGTTGAGATAAGAACAGTTTAATAACTGATATAAAATAAAGTAGTAGTAATAATAATATACAAAGCAAGTGATGCATGATGCAATTGCTCACCACCCACTGGCCAACACCCAGCCCATTCCTGAACAGCAATCCCTCCCTCCCAGCCAACTCCCCCCAGCTTATATAGCATGAGCATGACGTCATATGGTGTGGAATAGCCCTTTGGCCAGTCTGGGTCAGCTGTCCTGACTGTGCCCCCTCCCAGCTTCTTGTGCACATGGCAGAGCATGGGAAGCTGAAAAGTCCTTGACTAGTGTAAGCACTACTCAGCAATGACCAAAACATCAGTGTGTTATCAACCTTATTCTCATACTAAATCCAAACCACAGCACTATACCAGCTGCTAGGAAGAAAATTAACTCTATCCCAGCTGAAACCAGGACATACAATCAGCTCCAAGTGGGCTTTGTCAAGATGAGAGATGCATTTGTGCAGCTGAGCTCTAGTTCACCATTAGACTGGATGGCTGACAGGGTGGGAAGTGCCCTGCGTGTGTGATGCCAACATGCTCAGTTTCCACTCAAGAGGAGACAGGAGAGATAATTCAGTCAGCCCTATCAAGGAAGCCTGGTAAATGCCATGTCCATGTCCTTTCCAGCACCTAGAAAAGCTAGAGAAACTCTTCACTGTATATTGTGCAGGAGACATGCTGCCAAGGCATAACCTCCTCTGCTTGTACCAAAATCAAAGTATCAACGTCTAGAGACAGATATGCTCTCTGTCCAGTTTGTAGACCTTCCTGCAGTCAACCCTTGCTCTTGGTAGGCAGGATGCTGCCTTCCAGTTTTGGATGACCTGCTGTTGCTGTGTAGCACAACTTGGTGTATTACACCAAGGTAAAAACTTGACCTGATACTGGTCTCATTTTCTACTCAAGTGAAGGAAACTGTCAAATGAGCATCTTCAGCATGTAGCCTATTGCAGTATTTTGGTACCTGGTAAACTAGACTGAGGGATGTCTTTGTGCACTTAAATTAATAAACCTACAAAATTAGGAATTTTCGTGGAAACATCCTTAAAAGCAGCCTGGACCACCTATGGTCACGTCTTGCATGTGGACTGCTTTAGGAGCTCAGGATCTCTTTGGGAGAGAGGGGCATGAGGTGGAAAGCAAACTCTGACTGCAAAGTCTGATCAGTAGTTCAGATATCTCCTGCTGCCATGATGTTTACATTCAAGTGGGAGGCATTATGGGGAGAAAGGAAGTGGTGGTTGCATCCCTGGCAAGTGACCAGAGTGGAACCAGCTCAGTCCCACTGCTGTGGCTGGAGTCCAGGGACACTTTGGTTCACAGACTTGCAGGAGGCAAAGGGCAGACTGTCAGCTGCTCATGTTTTGACTCTCAAGCCCCAGATATGGACATATGACCTACAGTAACATCTTAATATTTTTTTGCTGCTTCTTGACCAATATTGAGAGTTACAGGGTAATCCCACATCTGTGAATACCAGTGACTTGCTGGATATGTCCTAGGAAGGCAGCAAGATGCAAGTGTTTGAAGAGCCAGTCTCCAAAATGTGCTGGGTGGTGCAGGCAAGGAAAAAGCAAATCAGGCAGAAGCAGACTTCCTGATGCTCTTGGGTGGTTGCACAAATCCTCCTTTCCTCCTGTGGCCTAGTTCTGCCTGCTACCCGTGTCCCTAGTATGTCTGATTTGATTGTTTTGGGTCAAATCCTGCATCAGTTATGGCATGTTTTCTTTTTTAGACAAAATTAGTTCATCCTTTGTTCTCTGAGAGACGTGAAAAAGGGAACGAGAACATTTCCATTTACTGTGCAGTTTCTTACAGAGCAGAACACACCCTGTTTGTCTGCACCAAGTGTTTTCCTTGTCTGGACTTCAGAATCTCAAAGGTCATCACAGATCCTTCCCAGTGAGTGGATATTGGGCTCTTCTATTCAGAGTGGCCCTTATTGGAGGTACTGCTACAAGGATTTTACAACTTTTCAGTCATTTCTGTATAGCGTTGGCTGGGAAGAGATGTCAGCTGATGAAATGTGGGGGCTTGGATGAAGGGGCCTAGGTCTGTGACTGCTTGTTAGGGAATGAGGCCAATCGGGAGAGATGATGACTGGATCTAGCCAAGACCATCATATGTCAGTACCAGGTATTGCCTGCTGTTGTACAGCTGCCTCTTCAGCACCATTTCAGCCCTCCTGAAAGGAAGGTTCAAGCCCTCTGACCTGGCTACCTAAATCATCAGCTCAGGAGCTAGGTCCCATCACTCCCTTCATGAGTCAGTGCTTGTGCTGAAGAAGTGTCCAGCCTTGTACCTCTCCCATGCTATGCAGGTGCTCGATCAACATGGGCTTCTGCACTGTGTTGACTAACACATCCGCAGAGGGGAAGTGAACAAAGCAACATGCCCGGAAACAATATGGTTTTATTGTAGGGCTGTGGAGGGGAAAGGGCTCTGCTCACGGCTTGGGGAAGAGAGTTAGGATAAAGGGAGTAGATAGTCTCATGCTTAGTGGATGAGGATTTTAATAAGCATAAAGGAGGTCAACTTGTTGCATCTGTGGTGGCCCTTTTAGGGAAATGTTTGAAGGACAAGAGTGAAGTGCTTGGATGAAGGATGTCTGGAGAAATGCAGGGGCTGCGAGAGGGGTGGATGGGTGGGTTTGGGGATGGGGTAGTGAGTACAAGAGCAGAGAGCAGGCTGGTGGGAGATGAGGGTGCCTGGGTTTGGGGCAGCCAGGGCAAGAAAGGGATGGAGAATGAGCACCGCTTGCAGGCCAGTGGCATGGGGAACTGCTGCTCTTAGTGAGTATCTGTCCCTCCTGTCAGCATTACTGGAAGTTTCCTTGTCTTCAGGTGATGGGGAGGTGTAAATCCATAAAGCCAGAAAGGATGAGATCTTACCATGACTTTTCCTCCCAAAACTGCCTGAAGCCCCCACTCCACATAGCTTGTGTAGAGCAGAAACAGAAAACCATGGAGATTATGTGTAATTGTTCTAAATTGTTTCCACTTTCCCAAGTTTCAGAAGACTAACTCCCCCCACCCCTGCCTCAAAATATCAAAAAAAGTAAGTTCCTTTAAACAGAGTTTCTCTGGGTGATTTTGGATAGTTATTGCAAGAACTGTTTTGGTTAAGGTCATCAAAGCTTTGAAGACTTCTCAGACTTTAACAGCTTTGGGAAAAAGAATGTTTGATCTAAATCTGGCAATCTCCATGAAAAAAAATCCTTGCTCAGAGAAGTCTCCTGGGTCCTGCAGTGGCTGGCCATCATGCTGGAGCAATGCTACTGGAAGACATGCTTCCCAAAAAACTTGTGCTGGGCTCGAAGATGTGCAGTGGACGCCTTACCGGCTCCCCAGGAACGCCTGGCACTGCTCTGTCTGTAACTGCAGGGCACTTGCTGGTGGATGCAGGGGACCAGCTGCTGGCGAATCCCTCTCGGCACCAGCTGCACAGGGGGTCCGCAGAAGTGACAGGTTTTGGAAGGACGAGTGCCTGATGAATGGCTGCTCTGTCTTGCAATGCGCTTATGCTAAGGGTGGGCAGCCGGCACCCTGCAGCATGGGAATGCCTGCCCATGGAGCCCTCGGCTCAGCCACCCCATCCCACCCGGACCCTTGAAACTGGTCTGTTGCAGCAGCTGGGCAAGCTGTGGATGTTGTGGCTGCAGGGGATGTGTTGGCAGTGATGCCTGCCCTCCACCCCACCCTGGACCAGGGGAATTTATTCACTCAGCAGCCTGAAGATGAATGCCTGCAGTGTCAGCAGCAGCTCCACTCCCCATCGAAGTGCAGGGCATGCCAGGGAGCCTTGTCCCTGCACAGGCATCTCTCCATCCCCTGCTTGGCTCTGGTTACAGCCCCTGGGGATGGACGGCTGGTGTTTGAACAGGCAGCTGGGGCCACTGTTTCTGTGTGGGAGGTGGGAAGCCTTTCGGCCTCCCTCTGCCTGTGGGTTTCCAGCCACCACTTGCCTGTAGCTCCCTCTCACTGCAGGCTGGAGCATGCAGCAGGGGCTAGTCCCTCCTTGCCTGCGCTGGGCTGGTACGGCAGTAGCCCCTGGTAGAGAGCAGGTAGCCTCAAGGACACAAGTGCTACAGGTCAGAGAGTTTAGGCTTAACAGGAGAAAAAGCCTCTCATCGAGGTACATCATAGCTATAGAAATTGCAGCTCTTTCTGGCAGATGTCAGCTGGGAATGGGAATCAGCTGCAGAGGCCATGGGGGGACATCACAGGGCTTCTCGGAAATTATATGCTTGCAGTTCCCAGAATGAAGTGCTGTGACTGCTGTTCGCAGGGTATTAGGAAAATCTACCTGCCAGCTCTCTGTGTCACAAACCGTGGGGGCCTCCTGAAGAGGCTGTCTCTGCAGGCTGTCTCGCCTGCAGAACAGCCCTTGGGAAGGGTAGGATTGCTGTGGACAAAGTGTGAGCTGTGTGTGGAAATTGTTTTGTTCCTCGTCCCTGGAGCAGAAAGAAACCCCCACAGGCTCATTCAGCTCAGGGTCCTGCTGCCAAGTACAGTCAGTAGCTAATATTTATGGAAAATATAAGCAGCAGCGGCCTTGGTCCCTGGTGATCCCATCTCATGGCCTCCTCCAGTTAGCAGTTTAGGGCTCATTTGCTTCAGCCACAAGTATCTGAGGGCTTTGCACTTCTAGAAACTGGTTTGGAGGGCCAGAGCAGCAGCAAAGAGCAGACTGTGGTGAGACAGGGACTGAAGGCGAGGATGGAGAGCCTTGCAGGAAGGGCTTCAAGAGAAAGTAATGACTTGGCTTCCTGCAAAAGAGGAGGAACGAGGCACTAACCGACAGAAAGCCAAAGCTGCCGATGGCAGCAGTGTGAGGGGAATGAGGCAGCAAAGGATGCGACAGATGTACCGGCAGTGAGGATGGAGAGGGTAGATGCCAGGGACAGTGCAGAGTAAGAGACCTCAGTGAGGAAAGGAAGATAATAGAGTAAAATCTGTTCTGCAGGGGTGTCTGGGCTATGGGGATGGCTAGTGTTCATGGAGGAGAGCAGGAAAGGAAAACTCTTCTGAGACTCTCTCCCTAACCCTGTCTGGTTCCAGTGGGCTAAGTCCCTCGAGGGGCCAGAGGACACTGGAGACCCCCAACAAGCAAGGGATGGGGACAGGGAGTGTATCAGAAGAGCAGATTGGGGCAGGGGGAACCAAGCAATACATGAGGAAGAGATTTGACATATGCTGCTTTTCTGATCAAAGGCATTTTGAATTGGCCAAAATCAGGGTGAACTCCTGCTGATGAGTCTTTGCTCCTGGTCTTTTGCTCCTGCTATGGGACCTTCATGGGAACAGGGATAATGGGGTCAGGCATTGCTAGAGGCTGCCAGCATCTCTGGCTGGTGCAAGTAGGAGGCTTCTCACCCCAGAGATGAAAAGGGTCCTAGTGAGGACCTATGGGTTGACAGCTGGGAAGTATCCGGGACAGGTGGGTAGTGCCCTGTCCCTGCCCTCGCGCTACTTCAGAGCCATCGAGTCTGGACGCTTTGGGTATTCCTGGAGAGCCCTTGCTGGCCCCATGCCAGGGTTGTCCATGAGAGCTGACCCCCTGCTGCATTCGGGAGTGCCAGGGGCTGGTGGGGAGACCCTTGGGGACTGGTGGAGGTAAGCAATGTGCCGGACTCCTTCACTTCGGCAGCACAGAAAGCCAGCAGGGGCATTTGCAGGAGATAAGCTTCAGATATCTACCCTGGGGCTTTGAACAACTGTTAAGCGCATGGACTTAAGTGGAGGCTTGACGCGATCATTGAAACTTTTATCCCATGCCCTTAGGGTCAGCTTGGCTGTGCCGGGAGCCCCATGTGAAGTACGGGAACCAGTGCTGGCCACTGGCTCGAGCAGTTTTCAGAGGAAAACTGCTCTTATTCTGAGCTAGAGCCACTGTCGGTGGGAGATGAGGGCTATGGCTATCACTGGTCCATGTGGGGCACTCATGCTGATCCACTACTGCTGTCAGTGGTGGGGAATGTGGCTGCGTGCCCAGCTTGCTAGCCAGCCAGTCACACACATCATGATGTCATTCTACTGAAAAGGCAGGTGGCATCTGTTGTCAAGTGACATTTGTAGGACACCAATCTGGCTGTGATGCAATCAAGGTTGTTTCTGTTCAATGGAAACTTTTGGATCAGCTTACAGGCTGTGACACTTAGAAAAATGCTGTGAGCTCCATGGAGGGGTGAATGCCTTTTTTCTAACCTTAGCCTTAGTCTCATCAAAACATGCCTCTTCATATAAAGGTGACAGTACGCTCACCTTCTTTTCCCAGCCAGTGTTACAGGAGACAATCGTGTGATCCACTCCCCTCTGTTCAGGAATGAAGTGCTGGGATTTTTTTCACAAAAATAGCCCTACTCCTAGGAGTGATAAAAGACTTGGATAAGTCCATCAGGTTTCCACTCACAATACTTATTCTGCTGTGTGATTTAAAGAATGCAGTGAGCCCAGAATAACATGTATCCTATTCTGCCGGAGCGTTTCGTTTTGCTGTTGATACCTTGTCCCCACGGGAGCAGGCTTGCTGTGCTACTGGTTGCAATGTTTCACACCCTGATCTACCATCCATCTCCTCTCCAGGATACCCGCAGCCGGAGGTGACATGGTATAAGGATGATGAAGAGATGGACCGCTACTGTGGCTTACCCAAGTATGAGATATTCCGTCATGGAAATCGCCACACCCTGCAGCTGTACAAGTGAGTAAAGAAGCTGAAGAGTGGTTGGATTTGGTGATGGGAGCTCTGAGCATGTTTTCACTATTTGGAGGAGCTGGCTGTCAGCAGTGATCTTCCCCCAACACCTGTGCTGGCCCCTTCTGCTCCCCATTGTGATGTTCCCAGCTGTCCCTTCCCCTTCAGCTCTTCGCTCTGATGACTCCCTGATCACATCAGTATGAGATCCATTACTGCATCCAGGGATAGCTGCCATGCTAGAAGCAAGAGGAAGGTCAGGAGAAATTCCTCTCTCTGCAGCCTGCCACCGCTGGTAGCAGTGTGTGCTATGGCTGCACCAGACAGGAGCTGATCATTAGGGCTGGATGAAGGTGAGCGAAGGGAAAGCACTGGCTGCCTCCAGGATGCGGGTCCAGGGAATCAGACTTGACAAGGACAGAAACAGTTCACAGGAGTGTCCTAAGCAAGACCAAAGAGGGGAAAGGGCTGCAGCCCTGTCCCAGCAGGGTCTTTCCTAGCTCTCACCATGAGGTCAAGGAAGGAAAGGGCGGCTTTGGCACTTGGCTGATGGAGCCAAGGGTCTCCTTTATTCAGCCCTGACTACCAGCTTCTTTTAACTTTAAATGAGGACTGTGTTTCTGGAGAGCCAGGCACACTGTGTCCCCAGCAAACAGAGACCTGTTGCACCTCAAGTCCTGGATTTGGGATGTCAGACAGGTGCGGCACTGTCTGAAAGTGCAGAATATCGGTATTGCTGGTAGTTAGTCAAACTCGTGCTTCTAGCCTGGGTTTTTCTGCTGCCGCAGGTGTGCTCCAGGTTTCCATCAGAGGCTGGCTCACCTCTTGCAGGAGCAGGGATCTCCATGGGCCAGGCATCCCCAAGGGGTGACAGTAGAGACAGCATGCATGTGCTTGTGCTGGTGCCTGTGAAGCGGGGCAGGAAGGCTTTGGTAAGGCAGTAGGGTGGAGGAAGAACAGAAATGTCATGTAGGCTGTGAAGAAATGAGAGGAGAAGTTCCTGCAGAGGAATGTGGCCAAGAACAGTCAGGAAGCCTGGTGCTAGCTGTTCCTCCTCCAGCACAGCCCTCTCTTATCAGAGTTACAGCCCAGAGGGGAGCTGGGCACTGATTTAACATCCAACTTGCTTATCTGTTAGAGCTGAGAACAGGCAGAGCCCGGGGAGGGAGGCCAGCCCCAGGCCTCCAGACCTACTGCGGGCACCTCAAGGGTCATGTCTTCATCTTCTGGCCCCTCTGGAGCAAGAAGTGGGAGACCGTGCATGCCTCTGTGCCCAGTGGTAGTGCCTGGGGAGGACGGGCAGGTCTCATGCAGAGCTTTTGGTTTCCAGGTGCCGAGAAGAAGATGCAGGCATTTACCAAGCCTCAGCTAGAAACAACAAAGGCATCGTGTCCTGCTCTGGTGTGCTGGAAGTGGGAACCATGACGGAGTTCAAAATCCATCAAAAGTGGTTTGACAAAATTAAGAGAAAAGCTGAAGAAAAGCTGCGAGAGATTGAACAGGGCAAGAAACGAGGGAAAGAAAACGTGGAGGTGGAGAAGTTGCAGGGAATGAGTCCTGATCGGCTCCAGAGAAAGCGGAGGCTGGCCAGGGATCTGAATCTCTGGTCGGGAGCCTCTCTGTGGGAGAAGGAGGATGCAGCAAAAGTGCATGTTGCCGATTCTCAGTCCAGATTACATGAGGATATTGCTGAGCCAAAGGAGCAGCGGGTCAATGCAATGATGGGCTTTCCAAACAAACTGATAGCACCTTTGAAAGCAGAAGTGACCACCAATGGAGATGCCTCTTTGGAAAGCGTGGAGGAGAACGGGAACAGCTTTCTTGCGTACATCTACGAGACAGTGGAGGACCTAGCAACTAAGCCAATGGTGAAAGACTCTGCAGCTAAAAAGAAAAAGAAGGTGAAGGCTCCTCCAGCAGCAAAGCAGGAAGTTTCCAAGCGAGAAGAAAGTGGGCGAGACAGGGCCAACCCCTCTCCAAATCCAAGGTTTGCCCCTCCTGTCCCCTTACG